TTACAAGTTGGTCACATGGCTGGCAAGCCACTCCCACCTGGTCACATGGCTGGCAAGCCATTGCCCCCCAGTCAAATGGCTGGCAAGCCACTCCCACCTGGTCACATGGCTGGCAAGCCATTCCCACCCAGTCAAATGGCTGGCAAGCCACTCCCACCCAGTCACATGTCTGGCAAGCCACTCTCACAAAGCAGGCCACACCTACAGAAGCGGTTCTAAAAAATTTTGAAACCCACCACTGGTGTGGGAGTAGGAATGGATTTCCAGAGAAAAAAATTGCAGACTACAGGAAACAGGAGCACTACTCGGGTGACCTTGAGGACACAGATATATCTCCAAATGCTTCAATGACACTCTAAAAGGATGCAAATTACCAGCTGTCTGTAAGGAATATAAATCCTTCCATTCCCCACTATCCTGTCAGAGCTGAAGAAGCTTCTTAGATGAGAAGTGAAATGTGTTCAAAGAAAAAAAAGAAACAAGAAAGTCCAGTTGAAAAAGCACCTTTGGGACCAGGATTTAAGAGTTTTGTCTTCTAATAACTGTCCATCATTCCTTATCTCTTTGTACTTCTATACTCAGTATTTCTAATTAAGTGTCAGTTAGATCACAATGCCCAATGTGAGATCCCTCTAAAAATCTTCACTCAATGATTGTTATTAATGTGGCAGAAAATACAAAATATTACCAACAACCATCAATTGGCTCATATTTCATTTTGTCCCAGTTTTACCCATACATTGTCCCACACATCGTTTGGACTCCATTCACATTATGCCACCTTGATGGGTGTCAGCTGTAAAATCCATTGCACAGCCCCCATCTATATACTGGAATGAAAAAAATTTCTTTTCATTCCTAGCCTAAATTCAACACCATTTCAGACTACTTTGGCAAAGAAATACTCACAAAGTTCACACTTGAGACCATAAGCTTTTGAAATTTTGTTGATTCGGATCAGAGGAGTGTGTCCAATTTTCTCTAAGATATTTGACAAAATCTTTGGTTCTTTTTGCCTGACAAGGAAAAAGAATAAAACCAAAATAACCCCGAAATGCATTATTGACTCCAATGAGAACCGATGTACTAAAGTACAGCCTGGCTTTGATTTACTTTTAACAGTGGACAGGAGGAAAGATAGTGAGAAAAATCAAAATCTTTTGTCTAGTGGTCCATCAGATTGTTTTTGTATTATATTCCATGTGTCCAAAAGTAACATAATAGGGTTTAGTTCTTCAGAAGGGCATCCCTTGAAAAGATCACCTAGTATTTCCAAATAGGGCATTTCTGAAGGCGGTTTTTTTAAATCAACAACAGCAGCAGCTGTTTCTTGCTGTCTACTGACAGCAAGAAAAGTTACGGTGGCCACTACCATGTGATCAAAACCTTTTTATATGGTCCTTGGCTGACTTAAAAAAGAGTGTGTTTGATCATACGGCTGTGGCTACTATCATGACTTTTTAGATCCCCACCCCAGAATCCATGAATCTACTGATCAAAAAGGATTTTTTTTAAAGTGGTAGAACAACTTGTTTCTGATTAGCTATTGTACTAATAAAGGATGGCTACCATCTTTCCTTCCAGTTTGCAGGCTCTATAAAGATTTGGAAAGGGAAAAAACTTCCATGAGACTCTATGGATGAGGCATTCTCCATTCTTCAATTGCATAGCAACCCTGGGCTCTGACTGTAACCTGTCATTGTTCAAATCAATGCTAATATGGCAGATGTCATTAATATTAGCAATGGAGAAAAATTATAAAGGTTACCTTCCATTAAAATATTATTTTCTTAAGTACACTAGTAAGTTGTGAACCACTTTAGACATTGAAAGCACATGTGAGGGGCTGAAGTCCAACTGGCTTCACACTGAAATGGATACTATATGGATACTATAGGTCACCAAATTAAGGAATCTTATGCAGGGGATCTGTACATGCAAAATCATTTCCAATACTGCTCAACAGGTAGGTGAAGCCAGAGTGAGCAGCATATTAAGGTATTCACTAATCTGCACCTTTACTGACAGATGGGTTTTCGAACAGAATTGGTAACTTACAGTATTTCTGATATACGTTACTATCAAAGGTTTGTACTCATCATTCATTTCTTTTCAATGTCTGTGCATGCTCTTTCAACACTCCTTAATTAGTTCTTTAAATTAAACATACATTTAAAGTTTTGCTTGGATTATTTCTAATCTGTTGTTATATAAATTCAAAGTCTAATGTCATTAATTTAACAAGGGTTGATAACACCATTCAATATATGGAAATAACAAAAAGTTGCATAAATTTCCTGGAATATACTGAAGCTAGTGCTAAGCTGGAACAGGTCATAGCTGTCTATATCTCTCATTTCAGAATTCTTGAGATTTTAATTTATTTCTACTTTCATAATAAAAACTGAAATGAAGAAATACACTGTATAAATTTATGTACAGTAAAGTGTTAGAAGACAGGGAAATTTAGGGGATTTAATTCTCTTCTATCAGAAGCAAATTCTTAGCACATCATATTGCCTGTGAGCCAAATTTTCTTTGTTTCCTATTTCAGATACAGCTGTAAAGCAGGCATTACTTTAAGTTGCTACTTACTGAGGCACATAGCGATGAGGTGATTCTGAGATGGATTTTCCTGGTTTCCAAGTGCATCTGCTAGGCAAATTGGGACTAATCCAGGCAATACTGGTTTTGGCTTCTGGGTTTTCCACATCGCCATTGAAGAAAGGACAAACTCTGATTGTTTTATTTGAAGTATAAACAGAAGCCATCATAAGCTAAAAAGGAAATATAGAAAAACAAGCATTTCAACAAAAGATTGAACTCCAGTAAAACAAAACATACCTAGTGAAAAGAATCTACCATGTTTTTCATATGCGCGCGCACACACACACACACACATATTTGGATCCTGGTTTAACCGGTCCGGTGCAACAGGGCTCGGCATCCACCACATGAATGTGCGCAGCACGCGCGCGCACATAGGCAATTTGTGCATGCGTCCTTACCTCCTGCGATGCGTCTGTGATGCTCCAGCTGCTCGGCGGAGTGTCGCGCAGGCACTGTATGCTCCGTGTGTGTGCGTGGAAGTGTGAGCTCAAAGACCGGTAAGGATCATGGGCAGGCGGGTGGGCCCTCTGGAGCACCGTACCGGAAACGTAACCAGTGCTCCCAGCAGGCACCAGTACGCCTGTACCGGGGCATACCGATTGTAACCCACCACTGATATATGTACACACAGACACACAAACACACACACACACACACACACAGACACACACACACACACAGAGAGATTTGGTTTCCAAGCAGGCACACTTCATCGCTTGCTCAGGGTTGCTGTCCACAAAGAAATTAGCAAAAATGTTTGTGAAACACATTTATCACCTGCATGGGGAGCCCAAGGGGATCATTTCAGACTGTGGAGTCCAGTTCACAGCCACGTTCTGGAGAAACATATATATGTTTTATGTATTATTATAAAAGGTATTGCTACTTTTTGCAACAGACAGCATTTTATAGCTGATTTTTTGGGGGGCAGCCCAAGATTAAAGGATGTCAGTTATATGATGACATCAGTGCAAGTAAAGGGCAGAATATTCATCTCCATCATCCATAGGCCATGAATTCATTCCTCTCTTCCTTTCTGGAAACCAACTTGCTTTGAGGGTTCCATGTGTATTTGACAATCATCTCTACAGGGCTACTATCAACCATGTTCTTTGCTGTTGTGTGAGATAATAAATAGCGAGCTACAATTTTCTATTTCAAAAAATAATTTTATTAAATAATTAGAATATTACAAGATAATACAAACTAAAATATATAAAAGAAGAAAGAAAGAATAAAAGGTGCAAAGAGAAAACTTAGAAAAGAAATAAATACTAGAAAAAGAAAAGAAATAAAAGTAAAACATAGTGAAGAAAAATAAAAGAAATATATAAAAAAGTGACTCCCAAGTTTCAATAAAAGACCATTAAGGGTTACCAGAAATATGAATTTATCTAATCTAATCTTGATTAAATAAATCAATTTTATATTCCTTCTGTTTACTCCTAACAGTCTTAATATTTAGTTCATTCAAATTATGATCTAGGACTAGATTTCAGTTCTTTGTCCCTTCTCACAAAATTCTCTTTTGTAAGAAAAATTATCATTCTCTTGGTTTATTGTTGGTATAAACTTTTAATTATTAAAATATTAGCCAATTTCTTTTATAAGGCCAGTGTAACATTTTTTTCATATCAACTTTGTAATCTGTAACTCGTATTTATTTATTTATTTTATTTAGTTTGTCATTCATGTACAAGAATGAGTCCACTTTCAACTCAGTCTCTGTCTTGTCACGTAACATATGTCCTTAAAAAATCTAGCTATAGAGGCAGATATTGATGTTGACAGTGTCAATATTAATTTCTGACTCCCATTTTGAAAGTATACTTCAATATTTGCAGCATTAGAACATTTTGTGCCATTCCGTAACAATTCATCATACGTATGTGTTCTTCTCCTTTATTTCCAATCTTTAAACCCTTTTAATATTCTAATTTTAAAATGCTGTTTTTTTAAAAAAAAACAAAAGAAAACATTTTCCATAGCAAGGATTTTTTTATAATTAATTCTAAATTTGTGTTTCAAATTTATCTGGATTTGTAGCTTTCTAAAACCAACATCTTAATCAACCTTTCTTTTGTTTATTTTTTTTAAATTCAGCTCCTACACTTGTAGTCAGATGTTTCTTTCATTAAGAATTGAAGGCAGACTCACCTCATATTTTCACATTCCTCATAAGCAATTTCCAAATGTGATTAGAAAAGGAACTATATGAACTTAGTGTCTTTTAAAGGCACTACTGCAATTTAAGCAAGATGGCTATTCCTTCATCTCTCAGTGCTGAAAACCCGCCAGTCTTGCAGCCTCTTTGGGAGTAGCAGTGGTCTGGAGCACCATGGGTGATCTCCCATCCTCTCTTTGTCTGGAGAAGTTCAAAGAGTCAGTCCATTTCACTGACTCTTCATTCTTCACTATGATCATTAGCTCCACTTTTTATGGGGCTGCCTTCAATCTGCCATTTCTTCCTCCGGAAGTCTCAAGAGCTACAATTTTCCCTGTGAATTCTCCCTGTACTTCCAGAATCAATACTCATTCTGGTATGCTTCCCCAGTCTGGCACCATGGACATTTTTGTTGAAGCTGAGGGAATATTTCTCACAATCATACTGTAGGGATACATTTTAGCAATAGTAAAACATCCCATTATTCCAAGCTGTCTTTAAAGTTATTACCTTGCATTTTCCATTATTCATTTTAACCTGAGTTCAAAGTTTACTTAAGAAAGATCTCCAACTTTAATTACAATTCAAAGTACTTCCTGAACAATGAGTTCAACAGGATCAAGGTACAAGCAAACAATTGTATAGTATTATCACTGACATCCTGCAAGGAATCACTCACTCAGCAAAGTCAGAACACTTCCCCAGTTAACGTATTATTTTGAAGCTACAACCTATTTCAAATTTTAAAACTGTTTTCAGCTGCATTTTATCTAAGAAAATAACAAATACACACACACACACACACACACAATTTTATTTGAATATTTTTCTAATGACCTATAATCCATTATTATTGATGTGTACCATTTGAAAAAATACTTATTTTTTATTTATTATACTGAAATAAATATTTCTCTTCTTTTGGTTTTTGAGAAATGCCAAAGTGCCAAAGACAAAACTCTAAAAAAAAACAACAACTATGGGCCAAAGTAGATATAAAATTAGCCAGATAACTATCTATACTGGGGAAAGTGTGGAGAGGGATATTATTTATTTATTTATTTAGTTATTTGTTTGTTTGTACAAGATAGCCAATATAAATATGAACATGGACATGAATGAAGGAAATGAATACAAATAAATGTGAACAGTAGGACAGGAACAATAGGCATGCTGATGCGCTTATATACGCCCCCTTTACAGACCTCTTAGGAATGGGGTGAGGTCCATGGTAGACAGTTTAAGGTTGAAGCTGTGAATTATACTTTCCTTTTTTTAAGGAAAGCAATAATCCATTCTCCGAAGAGAGGTTCCTGCCCAATATCAGTGCTTTCTGAGTGAAGAGCAGCTTTGAAATGTAATCTTCATAACTACTTCCACTGTGAGATTGGCTTTGAATGGCAGCTTTCATGACTTGCACAGTTAACCAAACTTTTTGATTTTCCTTCCCTTCCCATCCCATCCTTTCCCTCTCTCCCTTCTCTTTTTCCCATGTCCTTCCCTCCCCCCTCTTTAAAAAAACTTCTTTCCTGATGTGCTTCTGATTACACTTCTACATTATGTTAGTTAGTCAGCTACTTTGGTTACTCAGCTATTTTGGAGTGGTATAATCTCATGAACAATTATTTTTGCTCATTTAAAAAAAATAAAAAATGTAAAGTACATGACATTAATCTGTTTTATTAAATGAGGGCCAGTTTGGTGTTGGGTTTAAAAGCAGTGAGATACAAACTGTGTGTTGGGGGTGTGTGAGTTCTGCTTTTGGCACAAAATCAAACTTGGGCCAGTCACTCCCTCTCAGCCCTAGGAAGGAGACAAGGACAAACCACTTCTGAAATCTTGCCAAGAAAATATCTGGGACTTGTCTAGGCAGTCTCCAGAAATTAAGACTGACCCAGGAACAAAATAACATAATGAGATGGTGTTTTAATTTTTTTATACCTTCCCCACACTTTCCGGTGTTTTCATTCCCCATATATTTAACCAGCATGAATACTACTTGTCAAAAGATTTGCTATATCTGAAGTTTTCAAGGTAACTCTGTTTCAGCTAAAGGCACAGAATCCAGGAAGAAACCAGAATTTTCCAACAATAGCTTTTGCCCTTCTAGACACGCATGAAATGCATTTTTTTTCATTTTTGTCTAGGGATTTACTATGCCCATTGCCAAAACTTTATTTATTTTTACCCATTTCCAAGGAAATCTCAATGTACTGGTAATCTTTACAGCCCTTTTATATGAATGAACCTTGTTGCCTTTGATGTTTTTTTTCTCCCCATTGAACTTTATTGAGGTTATCTAAGGTCAACTTGTTTTAACGTTTGTTGCTCTCTAAGCAAGCTTGGAACAACAAGGAGTGGTACTTGCTGATGTGGTAGCATCCTCATCATATTATACAACTTCAAAATTTAAGTAAATGCCAGCCTGCTTATCATGCTATTTTTCAGTATGTCTTTTGTAGTTTGACCAGGCTTTTGACAAAAGGTGTAGTCCAAAAATTGATGGGCCCTTGACATCCCACCAAAATTAATGAGTCTCTTAAATTTGCATTAGTGCAAATATGGCTTGGGTGAATCAGTGACAAAAACGCTGGCATGTTAGATGTAGAATAAGATAAATCTTTCTTTCAGGATAAAACTGTAGCTGTTTCCTTGGAAATAAATGTTAATGGAAATAGTTATAATTGTAACTTAGTGCTACTTCAAGAACTTTTACAGTTTAAGCAAATAGTAGATCAGGATAAACTGAAGTAACATGTCCTGTTTGTACGATTTTTGAAAACCTATTTCAATAGAGAGCTTTTTGAATTGCTTTTTTAAGACAGCCTGTTGCTCTACAAACCAAAGCATACAGCTACACACATAATTCCCTACTGCATCACATGAAACTTTTATGATTATATTTTGCAGTTTCCTAACAGACTTGTTATCAACAAGTACATGTTCCATTACTCAATTGCTTCTCATTTCAGACTCTCCTGCAGAGTTGGTGGGACAGTAATTAATTTTGCAGTCATACCACTGCAGCCCTTGTTAGCCATATCAGAACATGTCCTCTCATAGAAAGAGAGATGACCTTGATGGTCATCTAGTCCAACCCTCTGCTCTGTATAGGATCACCCAAGCATCTTTGATATCTAGTCTCAGTTTGAAGACCTCCAGCAAAGAAGAATTTATCACTTCACTAGTGAGTTGATAGCTTATAGTCAGGAAGCCTATACAATATCTATGGAGATTCTCAATCATCCAGGTCACAGTTGTTCCAAAGGTGCTTTTCAAATGGCAACTGGACTTTTTTGGGGGGTTTTCTTCATTGAAGAAAACTTGCAGATTACAGGAACTAATTCAATTTGAGATGCAGAAAACACAGACTCATCCCCAACAGCCTGCGCCTATGTTCAACTGTGAAAGGCCCAGGGCAGAAAATATCCTGCAAAAAACACACCTCCAGCTTTTCAATGAAAGAATAAAACAAATTAATTTTACAATTGAGGTTTTGAAAAAGAGAGTGGTATGCAAACTCCCAAGAGCTGAAATCACTTCTACCAACAGAAGTATTGGAGGAGGTCACAGAATTTAAAAAGAAGACACAACTAGCACAACACAACAAGAGGAAAGAATGATAGAAAGGCAAGTTTTCTAATATAGTACTTCCCCATGTGAAGTCAACTGCTATCTCAGAGAGGATAAATGAATAATATATTGTTGATATCTAATAGGAGATAAATATAATGAAGTTGGCATTTTTGTGCTACAATCTATTGGTCTGCATTTACAATAACTGTAATAATATTTTTTCCTAATGTATTTTATTAGGACTTCCAGATTTGAGTACAAATAGTTGGACTACACTAGACGATGAGAAAGAAATCTGAAATTGGATCTCTGGTCAAGTTTTCAGTGGTCATCTGGAGGTTTGTACTTCAGATTTGATAGCCTTAATTTTATTATTTAGCCCATGGATTGTATGTTTCTTTTATGGCACCACAATGTTGTTAGCAATTAAATGACTCTTTCCTCTGCTAAATACATGTTATCCTTTTAAGCAAACATACCTAAAACACATTACATAAAGCATCTTTTCAAATATAATCAGTTAATAGAAAAACAAAGAGATTGAATTGCATAGTCAATCAGCAGAAAGCGTAAGGTTATTTCACAGATAGACTCTGTTAATCTTTAGATAATTTTACGGATAATTTAAGATACTGACTTTTTCAAGTGTAATAATCTGTCATTGCTGTAACTCCTGCACTATGTTAAATGCTTATCTTAAAGTCTCCTTTTCAAATTCATCAGTAAACAGTAGTCAGATCTAAATGCCAAGTCTGCACATACGTTATCAAACCTGCTAAAGAGCAAAGAAATGTAATGAGTCATTAACTGCAGAAATGCTCACCTTCTCATCAGCTTGCTTGTTACAATTGCCCCAAAGCCTTTTCTGCTCACTTATATCCATGCTTTATGATTCCAGAAACCAATAAACTACCTTGGAGCAAGGCACGTGGGATGGCAATTGGCTCTCTTGACCCTCCAGCTTCTTTTAGGTTGTTTTTTCAGACTTGAAGTACAATCACTTTCAAAAAGGCAAAAGTCCTGCTGTAAGGGGGATACGGATTTATCTGTTTAATTGTGGCACTTTGTTAAAAATATCTTAATTGGGTTCAAATAAAAAGGCAGAGTTCAAGGGATAGATTTTTATAGACGGTTCTGAGATTTGGTGAAGAACAATTCATGATATACATATTCACACATGAATGGTACCCTCATTCTGCAAAATCTGGATGGAAGGTTTCTTTAAATCATTTTGCTAATATTCAAATCATAACAAATTAATATATCTATAATGATGATTTAATTTCTCACAGACTCATAAAGTGGTCCTTTAGATCACAGTTTGAGAGGTGATGAAACATCTTTTTCTATCTTATAATAAAAAATATATTCTATCAAATAATTTCACTGCCATATCTACAAATGGTTAAAGTAAAGTATACAATCAGTTTCCAAAATGTTAACCTTTTTTTAATATTGTTTCTCGGATGTAGCCAGAAACCACTTGGCAAAGAGGTGTGTCTGAAGAAAATAATCCATTTTGGAACTGTGTGAACAGGCGTTCAGAATTATTGTGTCACACCCATCTACAATGTGACATAGTGAGTGGAAAATGAACATGCCACTATAAATATGAGAGAAATAAATACAAACTGAGGAAACATGACCCCAAGCTGACAAGGAATAGCCAACACTCTGGAAGATAGGCTTAAGATAAAGAAGGATCTTGACAAACTTGAATACTGGGTCCTATCTATCAAAATAAAATTCAGTGGTGAGAAAAGTGAGGTTCTACATTTAGGCAAGAAAAAAAATGCACAGATATAGAATAGGTGGTACCTGTAGTAACTGTGAGAATGATATTGGATCCTAATGGAAATCCCTTAAAATGAACCAGCAGTGTGCTGCAGCTGCCAAAAAAAGCCAACATAGTCCTGGGGTTCATTAACAGAGGAATA